ATTAAACAATATATAAAGCATGTGGTATATTGTGATTTTTAAAAGCCTATGAACAAAAAAAGGTTAGGTTTATTGGAACCTTTCTGAAGCTATAAATATGATTCATTTTTCACAATTACTTTGTCCTCTTACATTTTACTTATTTTCCTTTTAAATTCATCATGTTACTAGGGGTCCTTAAGTTCATAAACTTGCTGCATTGTAATGAATTAAGAAACAAATTGATAAAGCAAACAGATTTGTTCGCAGTTTGGCTCAACTGGGAGGGAAAAAAGATTCATAGTTTTTCTACCTTTTCTGTAGCAGTTCTAGAATTTTATTGAAAAGATGAAACAGCATATATATATGCATATATATACATATATATATGCATGTGTGTGTGTTCATTTAATTTGTCAGAATTGTGTGAAATTTTTTTTCTTGGGAATCAAGTGCTCTGGGGCCTTTAGTTTTTCTCTCTACCTGTAAGACAACTCTAGATTAAATCATAAAGCAGCACACTGATGTTATGCTGGTTATGCTGTCTTTGGGATGTGTACATGTTTGTGTGTTTGTGTGTGTGTGTGTGTGTTTATATATGTCCCAGGTGTACGTATGTGCACAAATTTTCATATGTGTACAGAGGCCAATGTGTCATCACCAGGGATACCATAGACTTCCTTTGAGACAGGGTCTCTTACTTGCCTAGAGTTCGCCAGTTAGGAAAGGATTGGCTGACCAATAAGACCCAGAGATTTTATCATGTCTCTGTCTCCTAAACAGTGGGATTACAAGAGCACACAATCATACTGCCTTTTGTATAGGTGCCTAAGATCCAAAGCAGGTCCTTCTGCATGCAGAGTAAGCACTCTGTTGAGTGAGATGTGTTATCCCCAGCCTCCATCACTGTTTTCTGTAATATATGAATGGGAATGTGTGCATTAAAGGAAAAAGTCTGAAAGAATATAAATTAGAATGTTAAGTATTATTCCAGGTTCTTAATTTAAATTGTCTTCTTGTTTATTTGTTTGCTATAATGAGCATGCTTGCATAATGAAGGACATTACATTGCTGTCAGTTAAAAGCAGTTCTATTCCTTTTATCCTAGCACACTGTATTATGGAAATTTAAAACAATGAAAACATACATTTTCATAATGAGGAAGCAGGATAAAACTTATACAATCTACTTATCTGTTATTTTTCTGGGCACTTGGGTCCATAAACTCACAGTTCCAGTCTCTCTGTTTTTTAGACAATTTAAGAAATAGAGATTAACAAAAGTAATTGGATTCATTTACAGTTTGGCCAAAGTGGGAGGAGTCTAACTTCTTCCCGCCCATGCCTGTAGTCATCTCAGAAGTCATAGAAAGACAGGAGACAAAAGCCAGAACATACACAATGGCCTTTTCTGGCACAAGGAGACCTGGGTCCAAGGTTTTCTCTGAGGAGGGTTTTTTTTTTAATTTACATCTAGATAGAGGAATATGAGATTTTAAAGACCCACTATTTTGAAAGAGAAAATAACATTTTGTGGAGTTTAGGATTCTCCCTCATTCCAGGCCTGATAAATGCTCTTTGTTACAAGTCTATTGCTTTGATAGGTGGAGAAAGCCTTTTCTTGGGAGCTCAGTTTGAACTCGACTCCTGTATTCCCCTTAAACATGCTAATTTTGCAAATGAAAAAAAAATGTTGGTCTGGTCGCTGTCACAATATTATATATTGAACTTAGCTTGGTACTTCTGTTTCCCAGCCTGTTTACCCTCTCAATAACCTTGCTTCCCTTGGTCATATTAAATTTTAAACATATTTTCTAGCTACAGGACCGCACTCAGTTCAGTGATCGAGACTTGGCTACCCTTAAGAAGTACTGGGACAATGGTATGACCAGCCTGGGCTCTGTATGTAGAGAGAAGATTGAAGCTGTTGCAACTGAATTAAATGTCGACTGTGAAATAGTTCGGGTAAGACATGTTCAGTAATTTTCATGCTTTAGGTAATGAGCAGCATAAATGAAAGCTTAAAAACCAGCAGCATGGGGTTCTGCAGACAATATCATTAATGAAGTGAAAAGGCCTACATAAAGGGAGACATTTTTAAAATATGTATCTGATAAGGAAATTATGTCCAGAGTATAGAAAGAACACAACTGTTGAGTGATAAAAAAGGCAAATAGCAGGGCATTGGTGGCACACGCCTTTAATCCCAGCACTTGGGAGGCAGAGACAGGTGGCTTTCCATGAGTTCAAGGACAGCCTGGTCTACAGAGCGAGTGAGTGCCAGGATAGGCTCCAAAGCTACCCAGAGAAACCGTGTCTCGAAAAACCAAAAAAAAAGGCAAATAAAGATTTTAAGTAGCTAAATATATGTATATATATACATTCAACTAGCCAAAGTATAAATTTCTCAGTGAAAACATATTTAACATCAATATATACACATATGCATAATTATAGAAATTGAAATCAAAATTCCATGACAGAGTAACACCCACCATGATGGGTATAATTAACGATAATCAAAAGTAGGTCAGGACATGGGAGAAACTGAAACCCTATGCATTGCTGCTTGGGAACATTAAATGTTTTTATTTCCACTTCAGAAAACAGTTCTCAAAAAGTTTAACATAGGTTTATCTTATAAGTTAGCAATTCTGCTTTTGTCTTTATGCCCACAAAATAGGAAACATAGGTAACCCAAAAGAACTCACACACAAATATGTCTTATCCATGTTAGCCCCAAAGTGCAAAGGAGGTAAATGTCATCCAAGTGAATAGAAAAATAAATTGCACATAATAGATGATTATAGGTCAATATAAAGAAAATTGATGTTGATATATCCTTCAAGAAGGGAAAGCCTTAAACGTATTTTGTTAAGGAAAAGAATCTAATGTGTAATTAAATTTATATGAAATGTGCAAAACTGATACACTGTAGAGACAGTAAGTAAATTGGATTTGTGAAGAACTAGGAGCAGGGAGGTAAAGGTAGTGACTGGTAATGGTATGGAGTTTTGTTTTGTTACAGAATTTGTTGTGATTGATACACATCTCTGTTAATACCTTGAAAAAATCTTAGTTTTATAAGCTAAATGAGTCAATTGTATGATATACCAAACATTCCTCATTAAAACTCTTTTACAAGTGTTACTAATACTATGTGAAAAATTGCCACAGTCAATCATTAAGTGGAGCTCAGGGGAGCCTGTGGAAGAGTGGGAGGAAGGATTGTAGGAGGCATAGAAGTTGAAGACACCAGGAGAACACGACTCACAGAATCAACTAACCAGGGATCATAGGGGCTCACAGAGACTGAACAGACAATCAGGGAGCCTTCATGATTCTGACTTAGGCCCTCAATATAGTTGTGTAGTTTGGTGTTCTTGTGGGACTCCTAACAGTGGGAGCAGGGGTCTCTGACTCTTTTGCCTGCTATTGGGACCCTTTTCCACCTACTGGGCTTCCTCATCCGCCCTTGATTTGAGGGTTTGTGTCTAGTCTTACTGAAGTTTGATATGCCATATTTGGTTGTTATCTCTGGAATGCCTTCTCTTTTCTGAAGGGAAATGGAGGAGTGGATATGGGGGAGAGTGGAAGTGGAGTTGGAGGAGAGAGGAGAAACTGCAGTCAGGATGTAATATATGAGAGAAGAATAGATAAAACAGAAAGAAATGCATGAAATGATCTGAGGTTAATTTCATGTATTCTTATAATAAATAATAGATAAAATAACTGTACTAATCAATTATGGGGATAGTAATTTATATTCCATTAGAAGAACATTTATATGAGGTATCTCATATAGGGTATTATAAGTATTTAATAATCTTTCTTTAAGGTATTTATGCATGTTTGTTTTGTTTTGCTTTCAATATTTGCTGGTTTATATGCTATAAAGATTTCCAACACTGGGTTTCTAAGTCTCCTTCAACTTAGAGGCAGGAAGAATAGATAACAGTTGGCTTTGTGTAAAGTTATTAAATGGCTTCAGCCCGTGCTTGAGGGTCATCTCAGAAGATCCAGAAGGAAGTACTATTAAAGAACAAGTGGCAACATAAAACTCTTCCAGATGAAATAACATATTTTTTCAAACATATAAAAAGAAGATGAAGGGCAAAGGTTTCTCAAAATAAATACAACTCTAAAAATGTGTACTGTCCTAGTCAGAGCTTTGCTTTTTCTTGTTTTGATCCTGATATAAAATCAATTTCAATCCTGTGCTTGTAGAGTATGCTGCTATATGAGAGTGTATACTAACAATGAGAAAAAAATGCATCAGACACATCCTGTTTTCAAGGAGTTTTGAGTATAGCAAGAGGGATAATCCAAAAAAGTTACTGGAGACCATATGACTGTGATATAGCATGGAGAACCTAAATATATACCACAAGTAGGGAAATGGGGAACTTGTGTTTTTGTCATTTTCAATTTTATTTTAATCAAAGATGCTTCCTTGAGTAAAAATGCTTGCTCTGTAAGCCATGACCTGCATTGAAGTCTCAGTTACCATAGTAGAAGAAAGAACTAGCTAGCATCTGAAAATTGTTCCCATGCACACTGTGGCATGTATGTATCTGACTATGAACACACACACACCATACATATACAACCACATATACACAAATATTAACAATAAATACAGCAACTAAATGGTTTTAATTAAATAGAATCCTTTCACTTTGGTCCCTCTTCTTCACTCCAGCCCTGCCCAGTTACCCTCCCATTTCCTCCACAACTCTCAAGTTAATAGCCTCTTTTTCTTTGATTATCATTCACACACACACACACACACACACACACACACACACACACACACACACACACACACTGGGGGGAGTCAGCTTTTTTGGGGTACTCATTAATATTTTTTCCAACCTTCATAAATTCATAAACACAACTTACTAAATCCATTGTTGTTTGTGGATATGACTTCAGGGGTGATCATTCTGCATTAGACAACCAATAAGGGGGAGAGAGGTCATCCCTAGGAGAGGCTAATTCTCCTTTTCCCCAGAAGGTTGCCTGTAATTAAAACCAAGAAGTGGGGGACAGGTCATCCCTAGGAGAGGCTAATTCTCCTTTTCCCCAGAAGGTTGCCTGTAATTCTTTGTCTAGGGGTGGGACCCCACAAGATCTTTCTCTTTCATACTATTGATACTGACATTGTTCCAGTCTTGTTTATGCAACCATTTCATGGATAGGCTGTTTCACTGCACACTTCCTGGTATTCTGGCTCTTAACAATATTTCTGCCCTCTCTTCCATGATATCCCCTGAGACATAGATAGAGAGGAGATATTATGCAGATGTACCTTTTTTGGTTTTTCAAGACAGGGTTTCTCTGTATTGCTTTGGAGGCTGTCCTGGAACTTGGTCTGGAGACCAGGCTGGCCTCAAACTCACAGAGATCCACCTGCCTGTTCAGCTTGCAGGTGTATCTTTTATGGCTGAACTCTTTACAGTCTGTTGATGTCTGCATTGTGTCCAGTTGTGATTTTCTGTGGTAGTCTCCATTTGCTGCAAGGAGGAGCTTCATTGATTAAGGGTGGTAGCTACATTTATGTCTGGGTATAAAGCTAAATTTTAATTATAATATAGTAAAGAATTATGTTGGTCTAGCAAAGTGGCAGAAATATATTCTTTTCTAAGTTCCATGACTTCACTAGCCCTGGGAAGCTGACTGGACTTTCAGTACCAGACATAATTTCCCTCCTGTTGAGTGGACCTTAAGTCCAATTAAGACAGATATTGGTTGCCATTGACATGTGAGTGCCATTTATTGTGCCATTGTGCATGTCTTATCATGATGGTTATTGTCATGGTTCATAGATGATGCATCTTGGTAGGACTGTTTAACTGTTTCTCTCTCTTGAAAGTTTGCATAGCATGTTGTGGAAACATGGAAACTAGACAACAGGAAAGAGGCTTTCAGGTCAGTTCCAGCTAGAATCACCTGTGCCCTAAGTGTGTTGTG